ACATTGACAACATGAACAACGTTGATGACTGCTATCCATTTTATTAAAACTTTTTTATGTTTTATTCAACTCTTTATGACACTTTTTATTATCTCATTATTATTATTATTATTATTATTATTATTATTATGAATTTGTGTCTCAGTTTAATAGGTCACTTGGGGAGTATGTGCTTTTAGGTAAATCTTAGCCTTGGTATGATAAGAAATTATAATTGTCTTGAAAGAGATACATATTTTTCTCTTTCATTCATCATGGGTGAATTTGTTTTGCCTCATTTGACTGTATGCCTTCCTCTCAAAAATAATTTTTCTGACAATTTTTTTTAAAATCTCATTTTAGTAAGGGGGAAAAAGTTTTATCAAATTATTGGTTTGGATTTCCCTCCTATGCTTTTTTAATCATCACAAACTATTGGCATTTTATTTCTTTTGGTAGGGGAGGGCTTTTATTTATACTTCACACAATTTATAGAATATTTTTTTACCCTTTTTGCTCTTGACAAATAGGGGAAGAAATGTGTGAACTTAAAAGTGAAATTATTTTTACAAAATACTGTGTGTTTTTTTATGTGTTTCATGAGAAATATAAATCTTTTAAATAAACAATGAAAAATACAAAGTTGGAATTTTTTTAATATGATATGTTTTAGGAGGAGCTTGTGTGAGTCTTGTTAGCCTTGGTTTGCTAAGCCTCATGTTTTGATGTTAACAAACAATATAAGAGCTTAACGTTTGTTTATGTGTTTCAGGAAAAACAAGAATCCATTAAGATTCGGTACTCAAGAATGAAGTCGAAACACTAAACTAGCATAGAATATAGGTAGAAACCAATGTAAGGATATGACTTTATATACCTATATTCACAAGCTCAAAAGCACTCACAAAATATGTTTAAAACCATCCCATAAACATTTTCAAACATCTAAAAGGTTTTAAACTCAAACACGAAGGATTAAGGATATTTTGAAAAACGTAGGACTGTAGCACGGGACCCCCCTACCGTCTGGACGGGACCCCCCTACCGTAAGGGGTACCATACTAAGATAGGTACCGCCAGAGAGTTTTGGCCTGAGAAGGTACCTAGCTACCGTAAGCACGGGACCCCCCTACTGTATGGATGGGACCCCCCTACCGTATGGATGGGACCCCCCTACCGTGACCGTTAGGTTACTGTTCCTGATTTGTGATTTTGAATTAAATCAACTCTAATCACCTCCCAACGGCTAATTAACATCTTTCACTATAAATACAAGCCTAATCCTTCATATTTCTTCAAGAAGCAAAGCTCTAAACATCCTCTCTTTTTATTCTAAGTGTGTTCATCCTTTTATTAACTATTTTCAATATTTTGGCTATTTCAAAAGCCTTAAATTCTTGAATTTTATACACACACTTTGAGCTTGTGTTTCTAGTTATATACTCTCATATTCATAAGTTTATATTGTATTTTTGAGAGAGTATAATTTCCTTCTACACCGGCTAAGTTTTGTTCTTAATTTTTATATTCTAGCCGTTGTGTAGAATCCTCTTTTGTGTTCTTCAAACACACTTTCTTACGGTCGAGAATAGCCGTTAAATTCTCACATTGTAACGGTTAAGGATAGCCGTATAAATCCTTGGGTAAAGGTTCAAGGATAGCCTTTGAAATCCTGGGGGGAACGGTAGAAGATAGCCGTTAAATCTTCATTGTAAACGGTTCGAGATAGCCGTTGTGAAATCTCGGAGTGAATCCTATTGGCAAGGGTTGTTTGCCAAAACTAGTGCGGTAGAAAAACCGATGGAGACGTGAGCACAACTTGAGCAAACCGTTGGTTTGCTAAGCCTCACGTCTCCATTCTGATCTTCCTATATTTAGTTCTCTATCGAAATCACAGGCATATCGAAGTAAGAATCAAAGAAAAGGTGAAGAAGGTAATTGTTGGAACACATTTTGCACGTTTAACTAATGTTGTGTTCATTTCTGACAGGTTTTGATAATTGCCAAACCGCCGTGGATATAAAGAGTTTCGTTGAATAACTCAAGGTGCGAAGAATGGCATGGAACAAGACCTGAAAGACTCAAGGACAAGATCAAGAATTGAAGACTTAGTCGAGTCGGTCTTTTGTGATCAAAACCGACAATCAATTCAAGTCTCGGTTCTCAAAGAGTCTAAATATTTTTTACAAAATCATAAAATATTTTTGTGCATCAAAATAAACATTTTTGATAAATTTTTTATTGTTAAAATCCCTGGTCCTTGCACAGAACCAAAATCACCTAAGTCGGCGTATCGTGTTCGGCGTTCGGTTTTTTGGCGTCCGAACCAACTCGGTGGTTTTCTATATTTTAAACCTTGTTTTTTTATCTCTGAGCATATTTAAAAGGTTCCCAAATAATTATTTCATAAAAACCACTTTTGTATCTTGGTCAATCGGTCTAACACGTGAAAAACGGTCAAAACCGTACGCACGTGATTTACGACCTTGAGGACTTGGTTTTTACCAAACAAGTCTTGTTTTCACTATTTTATACCATATACAATGTTTTTCAAACTTGGTTTCTACTTTTGGGAACACTTTGTTTTTGGACCTCGGTTTTTCAAAACGGGTTTTCGCTGGGTAAGCTTTGGCTAGGTGAAAATCGATTATCACCTTAGTGACAATCGATTGTCAAGCTCTGCAGCTCTGAACTTCAAAGTTCTGAAGCAAGCAATAATCGATTATCACTTGAGCAATAATCGATTATCAGCCTGAGCAGCCAAAACCCAGGAACTTCTGAGAGGATCAATAATCGATTATCACAAGTTGACAATCAATTATCTGGGTTACCGTTTTCCTCCAACGGATAGTTTTTTAAACTTTTGGACAGGGAATCTTTTAATAATCGATTATCATGTCTAGACAATCGATTATTTCCCTGCAACTCTGAAAAATTTGTCTTCATCCTGTTGGAAAATCTAGCAACGGTTTTATCCCATTTTGGGCTATAAAATGGCACCCAAATCCTCTCATTTTACACACAATTCTTCAACATTTCAATACTCTTTCATTGCATAATCATTCCTATTTTTCTTAGCTATTTGAGAGCCAATTCTTGAAGAAATTGTCGTGTTCTTGAGCGTATACTAGTTCACTCATATCTACTCTTTGTGAGAGTTTTATTCCTGAGTGTTTAAGTGTTTTCATACACTGTAAGGGAGGTTGTTCCCTTGTTGTAAACTCGAAGGAAGTTCTTTGTTCCTTCGTGAGAAGTCTTGGAGTGCGGTATCTCCGAGCAAAGGTGTTGAGGCTCGTGTGATTCGGGTTCTCAAGTTGTATCGGTTTGTTAAGCACCCTTAAGCTTAACGGAGTTAGTGTAGCTCGAGAGAGTCTCTCGGGAGGCTGGATTAGCCACACGTTGTGGTGAACCAGGATAAAATTCGGTGTGCTCCTTCCTTACGCTCTTTACCTTTACGCTCTCATTTTTTAATTTCCTGCGATTTTGTTTTAAACGCTATTCACCCCCCTCTAGCGTTGGGCCTTTATTCTAACAATTGGTATCAGAGCCTTACTCTCTGTAAGACTTAACCGTTTGAGAGGAACGATCAATGGCTTCTACTCAAAGTTCATACGCAGGTTTAGGTGAAGGGCAATCCACCACAAGGCCTCCGTTGTTTGACGGAACGAACTACATCTATTGGAAGGAGCGGATGAGGATTTACATCCAATCCACCAACTTTCTCCTTTGGAGAATTATCAAGAATGGTGAAGACGTGCCAATGAAGAAGGTCGGGGAAACCAACGTTCCTAAGACCGAGAATGAGTATGATGCACAAGACATCAAGAAAGTGGAAAACAATGCCAAGGCCATCAATATCATCTATTGTGCCGTAAACCCGGATGACTACCGGAAGATCTCTTATTGTACCACCGCGAAGGAAATGTGGGACAAACTAGAATTCACCTACGAAGGTACGGATCAAGTCCGAGAAGCTAAAATTGATTTTCTAACCCATGAATATGAATTGTTTCGTATGAAGGAGAATGAAAAAATCGATGAGATGTTTGAACGATTCTCCAAAATCGTCAATGATCTCCATGCTCTCAAGAAGACGTACACGGACAAGGAGCTTGTGAGAAAAATCCTGCGAAGTCTCACACCGGAGTGGCGGTCCAAAGCGGATGCCATCCAAGAGTCTATTGGTATCACCAACGTCACCATTGACGGGCTTAGAGGTAACCTCAAAACCTATGAGTCTACCATTTTATTCCCTTCTTTAGGTGAACAAAAGAAGAAGGGGATTGCACTCAAGGCTTCCTCAAGCCAAGAACCCGCCATGGAGGAATCAAGCGATGAAGACAACGAGTTCGGGCTCGTCATCAAAAAATTCCACAAGTTCATGCGCAAGGAGTATGAACGAAAGGGTAAAAAGCATGGAGGACCACCCAAGTGCTATGGGTGTGGAGAAGTTGGGCATATCAAGCCAAAATGCCCAAATGCCAAAAACGAGAAGGAGAAGAAACCGTTCAAGAAGCACCGAGCTTACATCTCGTGGGGAGGTGATTTCGGCGACGAATCATCGGAAGGTGAAGAAAATGAAAGCGCCAACCTTTGTCTCATGGCACACGAGGAACCACCGGAAGAGGTATGTACCACTTCTAAAGATTCCCATACTTTAGATGATGTACAAGAAGCTTTTAATGAACTCTATGATGAATATGTCAATGCTTCTAAAATTAACAAGGATTTAAAGAAACAACTTACTTCCATAGAGAAGGAGGTTGATAAATTATCAAAAGATAATGAAAAACTTAAAGAAGAAAATAAGTTTTTTGGAAAAAGAAGCGCCGACAAACCAGAAAGTTCAAAATGTAGTTCTTGTACATCACTTAAAGAACAAGTTGCAAAACTTGAAGGAACCTTAAAGAAGTTTGGTGTTTCTCATAAAAATCTCAATGATGTTCTTGATAATTTGCAACTTACTAAACATGGCCTAGGTTTTGAAAATGGAACTAATAATAAAGAAAAAGTTGAGCAACCACCTAAACAACCTAAGGCTCAACCTAGGAAAACTAAAATGAACAATAATAGACAACCTACATCAACTAGGAACACTAGACCACCTAGAAAGAACATTAGGATAAACAGTAGTCAAGTTAGAGAACCTAGAAACCATTTTCCAAACATGCATAAACAAAATTTTTCTCAAAC